GAATCATGGTTGATTTGCTGCATTTAAGATTTTTCCGGATCTCGTGCTTTTGGAGAACTTTTTCACATGGGTTACGTTCATACTTCACAGAGTTTCATGTGTAATCTTTGAAGAATGAGAATGGTTTTAACACCCCAGCTCGGTCCAATAATTAGCATTCTCTTTTATTTTACTTGGAACAGCTTTTGAGTTGCATAACTGAGGCATTTTAACTATTGCTTCTAGGCCACTGACTTTAAGGAATGGAGGCTTGTTGTACAAGAAATTTTCTGCTTCATGAATGTAGCAACCGCCTCGATGAATGTCAGACCTTTGCGTTACTCTACTGCATTTGATTCCCATCCATCGTCCCTTCCATTTGTGGCACGTTTCCATGCCAAGAGGGTTCTTAAATTCCGAGATGCCGTTCTGACTAGCTACCACAGAAATGAGGTGGATTCATTATCTTTTTTGTTTTTTTTTTTTCGTCTATTGCAATTAATCTTGAATGAGAAGAATGTTGATAAATTTTACTGATTTCATGTACTATAACTTTCAGGTTAAATTTGCGGAAATTACTTTGGACACTTATAGAATGCTGCAATGTCTAGAATGGGAGCCTGGTTTCTTCTACCAAAAGCATCCAGTTGAACCCAATGAAAATGGAGCTGCCATTGATTATTCTGGGGCGTCTGGAATAATTGATATTAACTTATCTACTGATATTACTGATCCATCTTTACCTCCAAATCCAAAGAAAGCTATCCTCTATCGACCATCTGTGACGCATTTGATAGCTGTAAGTTTTAACTTATTCATGAAATTCTTACTGCTTCAGTTGCATGGCAAAGTTTCTAATTTATTCAATTCTTAGCCTTTTTTGCCTCGTTTAGCGAGTGGTTGATTTTCAATTTTAAGTTGAGCAATTTCGGCATTTTATTTCCCCATATGCTCTGATTTCCAGATGTTGCCTTATCACTCGTCTGAATTGGTTATAAGTTATGCCTTACAGCTTGTCACACGTTATAGAATTCCCTGAAGCTATGAATTGCTTCCACTTGCACTTATTAGCTTTGACTAGCATCTCATGTGATCTAATACCGATAGGAACTGATGTATACACTACTAAACCAAAGGAGAATACAAAGGTTGATAGCATCTAGAAAGGGATCTTTCTCCCGTAGTTATGTATCCAAATATTTACCTGCCTTACTTTCCTCTTCTCTTGTTCTGGCTGACAATTAAAAATCCCCTTTAACAAACGTTAAAAACTACCAACAACCATGAAATTGCCTGGTGGTCAATTAGGACCTTGTAAATAATAATGACCTTAGTGGGAATATGTTCAAAACATCATGACCACCTATTAGGATTTGATATTCCACGAGTTACCTTAATAATCAAACATAGTAGAGTTAGTCTGTTGTTCCATGAAAATAGTTGAGGTGTATGCAAATTGGCAAAATAGTTGAGGTGTATGCAACAAACATAGTAGAGTTAGTCTGTTGTTCCATGAAAATAGTTGAGGTGTATGCAAATTGGCGCAGACACTCGTAGAATTATTAAAAAAAAAAATGATAATCACGACCTATCTTTTGTAGAATTGCAAGAGAAACCTTTTAATTCAAGATCATAACATTATTAGTCATTTTAAGTTATCAATAGGCCATTTCTGAATCTGGACTAGGTTTTTATTCTGAAAATTCCTGCTCCATCATGATTGACAGGTGGAGTGGGTGGTTGCTGTACCTGCCATTTTCTTTTTGTTATTTTTTTAAATAATAAAAACTTTCGATTGAGCATCTCGTTTCATGAGCAGGTCATGGCCACAATTTGTGAGGAGCTCCTTCCAGATAGTATCATGCTGATTTATCTATCTGCAGCAGGTTAGTTTCCTTCTATAATCATCAAATGATTCAAGTGAAAATGATTTGACTTTTTCATTCCCATTTTACTATTATTTATTGACAATCAACGATAATTTGTGCAGGGAAATGCTGTCAAAACAGTGTCCATCAAACAGCAAGCTATGGGGGGGAATCAAGAAAATCCTTGAAAAGTAAAGTCATCGCTCAAAATTCACGAGAAAATTGTAATGCTCTACCCGAATCCTGTAAGAGTCAGAAGCCAGGATCGAGTGACCTTTATGATGAGTATTTGTGGTTTGGGCATAGGGGTAATGGAGGTACAGAGTCCTCTCATTCTCTCTCGCAATGGTCTTTGCTATTGAATAATGTGGATGCTTCATCATTCCAGCTCTTTGTTGTTTCCAATTTCATTGATGACTTGGACATCATTTTTTTCTTTTTGAATTTTCAGGTCCAAACGTTTTATACCCTGGTGATATAATACCTTTTACACGTAGACCTGTTTTCTTGATAGTCGACAGTAACAACAGCCATGCATTCAAGGCAGGTTTGTCAGAACTTTTACAAATGTTGCCAGGTCATGAATGGTTTGCTTCACACTGCTATATTTAAAATTAAATTTCCTCTTGATAGGTGGATGTTTCTCATTTTTTGTTCCACTGGTCTGAATCGACACAATGCTTCAAGAAGTCATTTCAATTTGTCAATTTGTCTATGATGCATTTTGGCATGTTATGAAATTTTATTTGACAAAACCACAAGTCTTGCAGGGACATCATAGAATTCATCTCATTGAATTTTCTTACATATAAAATGCAATACTCAGTCTTGTTGCAACGCTCGAGTCAATCCGACTGCTCACTTGGAATCAATATTTGATTTTCAGGCTCTACATGGGGCAGAGAGAGGAGAGACTGCCGCCATACTTCTTTCACCATTGAGGCCTGCATTCAAGAATCCCTTAAATGTTGATACAATTCAATCAGGAAGTCAGTTTACATTTTTCTTGACTGCCCCTCTGCCTGCATTTTGCGAAATGGTTGGCCTGTCCTCAGCCAATTTGGATATAGTAAGTTCATTATAATTGTCAAAACCTACTCGTTAAACACGTTCGGGACTTCCGTTTGATTCACAACTTATTCCCATTTTTAGGATGTTTACAATGATGCTGAGACCATCATCTCCTCCGCATTTTCCGAGTGGGAAATAATTCTTTGTACATCAACTAGCTTAAATATCGTTTGGGCTCAAGTTTTGTCTGATCATTTTTTACGCCGTCTCATTCTCAGGTATTTTCCGGTCAAGTTGCATGTGTTACTTATGCAATGTTATACGTACAGAAGCTTTTTTTTGTTTGTTCTTATGGAAGCCTGAATCATGTGGAATTCTCTCTTTCTTTTGTTCCATAATCTGCAGATTTATATTCTGCCGATCGGTGCTATCGTTCTTCAATACGAAAGAAGACGACGACCTTCCTATTTGCCTGCCTTGTCTTCCTGACTCTATCTCTTCGAATTGTGGAGTCGTCATCTCAGCAATTCGTCGTCTAGCAAATCATCTTAATGTTGCTGACTTATTTAACTTCCACGAAGCGTAATCACAATCTAGATATTGCGAAAGACAGTCCGGAATCGAGTACAAAGTCTGCCTTCTCAAGGTCAGTTCACAGTCGAAACATAACACCATTGATCTGTTGAGAGTTACAGTAGGATCTGGAATTGGTGTTCGTTTTGAAGCTAAACTTATGAAACACTGGTAGTGTGATGGTGGTTGCCTTCCATTTTAATGTTTATGGGCAGCCTGTTGGTTTCTTTAGTTTCTAGGTGGGTTTACTGTTTAGTTAGCTGAGTGTGTGATAATTTATTGTAGGTTTCTGTTCTTTTTGCTTATTCCTTTTCATTTCTCTGTTAAAAAAAAAAAGGAAGGAAAAAAATAAGTAAATTGAAGCAGAGAAATGACACTCCTCACTCTTGTACAAAAGTGACAAATCTTGAGTTTCATGTTGTGGTTCTTTTTTTCCTCTATTTTTTCAAAATTATTTTAGATATTGATCCCTCTTTTCTCTAGTTTTTGTTACATATTGTACTCTTGGAGCACTCGAGGTGAGCAACCCATTCATGCGAGCTCCCTTCCACTCAATTATGGCTGTTTCTCTCGCAGCAATATCGTCCCCCATAAGGACGTGCGTTGTGTACACTTTTGAAGGACTCTTCCACTCAAATATTGTTCTCTTGGAGCACTCTTGAGAGGTGAGCAACCCATTCTTTCGGGCTCTCTTCCACTCAATTATGGCTGTTTCTCTCGCAGCAATATCGTCCCCCATAAGGACGTGCGTTGTGCACACTTTGGAGGACTCTTCCACTCAAATATTGTTCTCTTGGAGCACTCTTTGGAGGTGGGCAACCCATTCTTGTGGGCTCTCTTCCACTCAATTATGGCTGTTTCTCTCACAGCAATATCATCCTTCATAAGGACGAGCGTCGTGCACAATCTGGCACTTGATCTACGAATATCTCATTGACCCCCTACTTCTTTACTTGTAACTATTGACGTTATTCTTCTTATGCAAATGGCTCTTTGCGAGACAGACAGAGATATAGATATGGTGATTGAAGGGCATCACTAAAATAAAAATTTATATAAATTTTATGAATTGGAATAAAACTTTTAAAATTTTGAAGGAAAAAAATAAAATGGCTCAGAGAAAAATATTGCAACTCCAGCCACCAAAAAACTGGATAAGTCCTACGTGGCGCGAATTAATAGGTCCATTTATTATCCTCCAATCGAAAAATAAAAAAATAAAAGAAAAAGAAAAAATAAATTGCCTATATCGACAAATTCAAAATCTAAATAGCCCTGAAAAAGGGTAATCAATTCACGGTTTGATTCTCTAATTAAAAAAAAATGCCTCAGATTTATCGCAATTTCAACCAATAGGAAACGAGAATTGTATCCTCACGATCCTCGTCTAGCCTTCCATTATCACATCGCGACCGTTCATTGTACTCGAGAAAACACAACTTAAGTCCTCATTTGCCGTTAGATTCGCACACCTAAAAAAACACACGGATATGCTCTCCTAACCGTCCGATCCTCAGATTCTTTCTTCATATACGACGCTATATATACGCCACAACTACATGATCGTTTGAACTTTTGGCTTCTTAGAGGGAGAAAGGGATCTGCCCGAGAGAGAAGAAAAAACCCGAAGAAGCGAAATCAGGTCGGTCTTAAATTCTTTTGTTCTTTCTATTTTCTTCTGGTTTTTCTGATTTCCTTACTAGGTAATAGGATTAGAGTTTTGGATTGTTTTTGAATTCTCTTCTTTCGAGTATTCGATCTTTCTGTTTTCGTCGATAATTCGTCTCATTCTTCGTTGTTCTCCGCTTTCGATTGTGTATCTAGATTTAGGTTTTGAGTTGTTAGAACTTTTCGGATTTTCCTAGGTTGCATGATTCGCAAGCGTTTACAACTCTTTCCTGATAGTTGATATCATTAGGTATTCGTGTTATTTGTTCACAAGTGAATTTGATAGTTGTTACTAAATGAAATTGGCTATCAGAGTTGAATGAAATTCGGAATTGGGATTTCTTTCTGTGCAGATGGCCCGTACCAAGCAAACCGCTCGTAAATCTACTGGAGGAAAGGCTCCCAGGAAGCAGCTTGCCACTAAGGTTTGTTCTAGCTTCTTGCATGAGGATTTGTTGATGAATTTATTGTGATATTTCTTAGTTCCCTATTTGTTTACGTTTTGCATGAATTCTTGTATGTAGGCTGCTCGTAAGTCCGCTCCAACCACAGGAGGGGTGAAGAAACCCCACAGATACCGTCCTGGTACAGTTGCTCTTCGGTGAGTACAAATGGTTTTTGTTTCCTCGGTTTTCCTTTTAGGGGATTGCCATTTCGATCAAGCAATTAACTTATTCATTCCTTGTGGCTCGTGCAGTGAAATTCGTAAGTATCAGAAGAGTACTGAGCTTTTGATTAGGAAGTTGCCTTTCCAGAGGTTGGTCCGTGAAATTGCCCAGGATTTTAAGGTATGTTCTTCTATGCATTGCTATTTGTTTCATTTCCTTCATTGTGGTGATTTAGCTGGGTTTGTTATAGAAAATTAAGGTTGTTAATTGCTTGGGTGCAGACTGATCTGCGTTTCCAGAGCCACGCTGTTCTGGCTTTGCAAGAGGCAGCAGAGGCATACCTTGTTGGGTTGTTCGAGGACACCAATCTCTGTGCGATTCATGCCAAGCGTGTTACCATAATGCCCAAGGATATCCAGTTGGCTCGGAGAATCCGGGGCGAACGTGCTTAGAAGGTGATGTATTGTTGTTTGGTGGATGGAATTGGCTGCAAGGAGGAGGTGATCAAAGACCCAATTGATGATGGATGCTGGAAGGTTCTTATTTTTTGTTTTTAGCAACGTTGGTAGATAGCCATACTAGAAAACTTGTAGTGAAATATGGTGAAAAGGCATAATGCTTTGCCTTATGCATGTTAATGTCTAGGTGTGGATGATGTGTTTCTTGTTCTTCTTTTTATAGGATGGAGGAGCTTAATTCTGTATTTCATTGATTGTGTTTTGTTGGGGTATGCAGCCAAGCTAATATTTGTTGGATTATAACCTATCACTTCTAATTTTTAGTTCAGATTTGTTAGCTTAATTCTGTATGTCATTGATTCGTGTTCATTGTGAAATTTTCTCATCTCATCTAGTGTGTAATCAATTACCCACCGTAGCAGCAAGTACAACTGAACTATTAGATTGTGAGATCGCGTCATTTCATATGTGAAATTCACTTCTTTTAAAATGTCTGTAAAATTGTGAGGTTAGGGATTCACTTCTTTTAAAATGTCTGTAAAATTGTTAGGTTAGGGATTCACTTCTTTTAAAATGTCTGTAAAATTGTGCGGTTAGGGATTTGGGGTGTTATAAATGGTATCGAGTGAGTCTGTTATATGAAGTTGATAGTGATATGTACTATTATGAGGCTGGTAGTGATATGTAGTGTGTTATAATGAGGCTGGTAGTGATATGTAGTGTGTTATAATGGAGAATATTTTTGATTGGTGGGTTTGAGTTGTTATAAATGGTACTGGAATTTGGCGTTGTAAAATTGTGAGGTTGACGGTGACATATAGTAAATTATAGTACATAATGGTGGGTTTGAGCTGTTACAAATGGTGATATGTAACGAGCCAAAATAAACAATATTTGTTAGTGATAAATTTGGTTCGTGAAAGCTGAGTTTAGTTTGATTCGGTTAGAACTTAATATGTGGTTTTATATTGGCCCGTCAATGCTGGATTCTTCAGAATCCGCAACAGCCATCAACTGCGTTTGTCACGTACCAAACAATGTAGATTTCAAATTCGATCTCGTGTAGAATGTAGATTTGTTGCGGCTACTTGTTAATTGATTCTACAAAATCAACCAATTAAGAAACTGGAAACAAATAAAAACCCAGCGCCACCGTTCGGTCATAAAATTGGTTGTTTCAAAGAGGAAAATTCCTTTTGCAGCCTTCAAAAGTATAAATCAAATTCAAAAGTATAAATCAAATTCATTTTCTCCCCCACTTATTTATACCATTCTTCGCACCCCAACAACTTGAATCTCTAAATTTTATTTACTATTCTCGTTTCAGTTAAGCACAAATGATAAGGACAAATTTTGTAATTTAGCCTCAAAATTATAATTATAAATTTCGTGAGACAATAAGGTCAACCCGGATTTCATCTAAACTCAATGCACATTAGCTTCATTCATTCTACTCCAAAAGAGCCTTAGATAGAAAAGCAAAACGAGGAAGAGGCGGCTTTCCAGGGTTTTAGTAAAGGATCTTCGGGAACGATGCTCCTTCTCATGCCCGTTTGCCAACATCCAAAAAACTCGCCTTCTGCTATCTTCCACTCCGAAGTTTAAGATTGAGTTTTTGATTTGGTTGGTGATTCTAACTTGCCTTATTTTATTTGAATCACTTGGAAGGGGGCGGGATGCCTTGGAGGCACCATAGATTGCACCGTTGGTAACGGTGCTTTTGAGTACCCCGGTTTTATATATATATCCGCCCAATCCAATTGCCTTTAGAAAAAAAGGTTGAAATTGAAAATTCATTATAAGGGAGTTATCTGTTGATTTCCAACCACCCCTCTAGCAAAAATAGTTATAAAAAAATGAATTATAGGTTGTTTTGGCTAAACTATCCAATAAAAAATTGTTTTAATTAAAAAAATATATCCAAGTCTTGATTCATAACAACATTAAAAAAAAAAAAAAACCATATGATAGGCTAAGCAAATCAATTGGTCATGGCTCGGCCAAGCTAGCTTTAGTTGCCAAGCAAACTTGCTTCTCGGAGCATTACGATAGAACATGGATCAATCATGTCGAGAATTGACATTTATACAATTGGAGCATCAATAAAAGCTAAACCTTTTGGTACTCTTTTACTATTTTTGTTCGATATTTAACACGTCATTAAATAATATAATACGATAATTATTATACCATTACTTAAAAAGGCCTAATTGGCTTCTCTAGCATTTTAATATTTTAGCATCGACAAAGATTTCAGCCCGCTGGTTGGTTTACTGGAACACCGCCAACATCGGGTTCTCCTTCATTTCCAAACCTCTCTTCTTTTTCTCTCTCTCTCTCTCTCTCTCTCTCTCTCTCTCTCTCTCTCTCTCTCTCTCTCTCCAAATTTCTTCTTCTCAATTCATCTTCTTCTCCCAAATTTACTGCAATCTCCCAATTCTCTATCGTTTTCCTTTGAATGGAATTGCCTGTTCTTTCACCTTTCACCAACTCGGGTTCGGTATGTTTCCCTTTCTTGCAGAAGTTTGGTTTGAATGATTCAGGTTTTCTGCCATTTGACCTGTTCTTCTTCCTTGAATCTTCCTGTTCTTCAACTTTGATTCTTTCTTCGTTTCTTTTCATTTACTAATGAATTTTGATGTCTAGAAAATCTGGGTTTTGTTTGTTTTTCCCATTCATCAGGAGATTTGATCTGAGTTTCTGAGATGCAAACAGAGGAGACAGATGATAAATCTGTAGTGGCAGAGGAAGACGAAGTAGCTTTAACAGAGCTTCTAATGTTTAATGAGATACAGAAAATGGCGGACGAGGTCGATATAGAACTCATTACAGAGTTGAAATCTGTGAAGAGAGACAGAGACTTGGCGATGGGAAAAGCTAAGGAATTGGAGCTTAAATTGGTAGAGAAGGATTCTAATTTGGCAAAGATGGCGAAGGAGCTCTCTGTTTTGAAACGCTCTGAATCACGAAGCCAAACAAGAATTGAAGAACTCGAAAAAAAGTACAAAAGTTCCAAAGAATCAGAAGAGAAAACCAAGGATTTGCTATCTGCACAGACAAAACAGCTCGAACGGACGAAGATTGCGCTCGAAGAATCAAAACTAGAGATCCAATCCCTTCGTGAAAAACTTGAGAAATGTTCTTCCATCACCAATTACATCTACAATCCAAAACAGAGCATTACAACAAAAATTGAATTCGACAGGATGAAATCCGAGCTCGAATCGACAAAACACTGTCTGTTTCTGCTAAACAACGAGCTAAAGTTGGCTACAGAGGCAGAGGAGAACAACAAGAAAGCCATGGATGATCTAGCAATGGCATTGAAAGAGGTAGCAACAGAAGCGAGTCATTTGAAGGGAAAATACAGCACAGTCGAAGAGGAGTTAATGCAAACAAAAGATGAAGCAGAGAATTTGAAAACAACATTGAAAAACACAGAGGAAAAGTACAAATCTTTGTTGCAAGATGCAAGAAAAGATGCAGATTTGTACAAGAGCACAGTGGACAGGCTGAGATCGGAAGCAGAGGAGTCTCTAGTGGCATGGAGTGGGAGAGAAACAAGCTTAGTGGACTGCATAAGAAGTGCTGAAGAAGACAGATACAATGCCCAGCAAGAGAATCGCCGTTTGACGGATGCCCTGAGGCTAGCAGAGCTTAAGAACATGACATCAAAAGAAGAGATTAAGAAAGTGAGGGACATTCTAAAACAGGCCTTAAATGAAGCCAGTGTGGCCAAGGAAGCTGCAGGGATTGCAATAGAAGAGAATTCACAGCTAAAGGACTGTTTGGCTGAGAAGGAAAATGCATTGGATTTTGTCAGCAGTGAGAATGAAACTCTCAAAGTCAGCCAAGCTGCATCTCTAGAGGAGATTAAGGAGCTGAAGCAGTTGCTAGAAGAGGCAAATAAGAAAGAAGAAAACAAAAGTAAAGATGAAAGCAAGAGCCAAGAGGAAAGCAAGAGCAAAGAAGAAGGCAAGAGAAAAGAAGAAGGCAAGAGCAAAGAAGAAGGCAAGGAGCAAGTGGAGATTACAAGATCGAAGCCACCGTTGAGTCCATGTCCGACTCCGAATCCGAATCCGAGTCCAACTCCAGTGGAGAAGGAAGATACATTTGGGAGAAGGCTAGGGAAGGCTTTCAGTTTCAGTTTCTTGGACATGAGGATCATGCCAGAGAAGAAGAAGGAGGTGGAAGAAGAGAAAGAGAAAGAGAAGGAGGAAGAGCCTGAAATGGAGGAGACGCTTAAAGGGTCGATTTTTGACGATGTCGACTCGCCTGGTTCCCCCAGGAAACATGAAAGGAAGCACTCATTTTCTCAGTGTGGTGAAGATGGGGAGATGATGAATGATGAGGATCTTGATCAGTTGGAAGAGGGGAACCTGGATGAGATGGATGGTGATAGGAATTCAAGGAAGAAGAAGGCATTGATGAGGAGATTTGGGGATCTTTTGATGTTGAGGAGGAGGACCGTTCCGCCCAAGAAGGAACAATCACCTGAGTGAATTCTTTTCTCATCTTTTTCTGTAAAACTGTAAATTCATACCATACCAAGTAGAGCTTACCATTCTGTATTTATCAGTTTCTTTTCTGTCACATACCTGTTTTCAAGAATCACCTGATCGCAATTGATGTTTGACAGAATGAGGCCCTTCGAGATGGGACGCGGTTCTTTGAGTGTATCTGTATGATGAATCTAACCTATATAATTGATATCATCCCTGTTCAAGTAGAGATGATTACACGGGTTTATGTACCATAATTATCACATCTTAAACTCAACGAGTTAAATGACAGACCAAGTCCGAAGGTTACATTTATCATGCTTAACACGTTCACTCAAAGATGAAAATTTCATTCAACCCGAACACATCTAGAACCTTTCCAACATGTCCCTCACCATGGAATGTTTTTCTGAGTTCAATAAGGGGTGGGAGAACTCGAACCTCTAACTTCTTGATTGAGAACATATGTCTTAATCAATAAAGCTATGCTCAAGTTGGCTCCATTGACTGTTCGTTCTTTTCTAATATATCATCGGTTCCATCATTTTGCTTCTTTCATTTCCATTGTAGGTGGTCGTCTACACTTTCATGTCATGATCATCCAAGTCTCGACTCTAAATTCACTCAACTCTTAACTACGACTCTTAGACAATTCAAGTTCTTCATCATGCTCTATGAATCTTCCAAATTCCACGGTCCATACCATTGCTCAAAAGGCTCAACCAAAACTTGAAAACTTAAAAACAGCAGCCACAAGAACACAAGTATAGAAACAATCCTTCTTATTGTGTAGATATTCCATTTCAGTGCTCTTCTACTAAACCCAAATCATAAGTTTTGCAAGCTCCTTACCTTTCTATTAATCAATTTGCTGCTTTTTTCAATTATAAATATAAGGAAGAGGCAAGTTCTAACTTAAAATCGCAACAAAAAAGATTGATAATGAATGGGAAATGTTTTATGAGGATCCTACCTCAGATTTCATAAGCTTCCCGTTCTTTTGAACCCTCATTGGCAGAATTGCGTCTTTCCATTCTTGTTCGTTCTTAATCAAGTGCCTGTTTGCTTTCCATCAGCTTCCCTTTTTCTCCTATTGCAATAATCAGCTCAAGTTGCTTTTGCTGCTGCTCCTACACATGAAATCATTGCAGAAACTCCAGTAAGTTTTTAGCGAACTTCATTTTTTAGCCTCATTCTTAGAACGATATTGCGTAATTGACACACCAAACAATGAAATCTTACCAAAATCAACCTGCTTTTCTTGTAAGACTAACATCAGAATCACAAGATGAACAAAGATCATCTCAAGAGCATACATAATCGAATAACGTATCGCATATATTAAATTAGTCCAAAGACAAAATTAAGGATTCCTCAAAAAATTATAAAAGTTGGTCAATAGTTTGCCTATTGATTGTGAAATAAGTATATATAATACATTGAAGCCAAGGAACCCTCATCCAATCTCATACATCCATCCAGACGATTATTGAGAGGAGTAGTCCCACGTTGGCTAATTAAGAAGAAGATCAGATCATGAGTTTATCAGTAAGGAACACTATCTCCATTGGTATAAGGCCTTTTGGGGAAATCAAAAGCAAAGCCATGAGCGCTTATGCTCAAAGTGGACAATATCATACCATTGTGGAAGATCATGGTTTCTAACATGGTATCAGAGTCATGCCCTTAAGTTAGTCATGTCAATATCCTCAAATGTCGAACAAAGAAGTTGTAAGCATCGAAGGTGTAGTCAAAAGTGACTCAAGTGTTGAACAAATGGTGTACTTTGTTCGAGGGCTCCAGAGAAGGGGTCGATTCTCAATTAAGGGGAGGTTGTTTGAGAGCTCCAGAGAAGAAGGCCTCAGGGGAGGTTCTACGGTAGTGTATTTTGTTCGAGTGGAAGATTGTTGAGGATTATTAAGAACCCTATCTCCATTGATACAAGACATTTTAGGAAAATCAAAAGCAAAGTCACGAAAACTTATGCTCAAAGAGTGGACAATATCATACCATTGTGAAAGTTCGCGATTCCTAACACAACATATAAAAAGTAATAAATGTAAACGACAGAGTTTATAATAATCATTTGAACTTTTACCTGCATGGCTAGTAAGACCTTTTGTATTTCAAGGAGTTCTTTCTCAAGAACATCTTCTTGCACAGCCGAAGTTTGAGTGTCCTCATAATTTCTTTGAGCTAAACCTGCAGTCTTTAATAGCGTACAAACAAAAACACAAAACAATCTTACAGGAAAACGGACACACAAAAACAAAAACAAAAACAACAGCTCAATGAAAAATCTAAACCATGCAATAATTTCCATCCCATGAATCAAAATATATATATACCCACAAGAACAGTGATGCTAAACAGGTTTAACCCCAAAGAAGAATTAAGCAATTTAATTCACCAGTTATGAGTATTAACACAGATCACAAACAAAAAAGAGAGATAAGAATACCTCAACAATTGGATCCATCAGAGTTTTTTGTGTTACCCTAAACCTTATGCCCAACTTCTCAAGCTTCCTAGACAAGGCCCGAATCACAGTCGTCAAACTCCTAAAATCCTCCTCTAATTTCTCAATCCTATCCAACAAATCCACCTTCAACCCACCGCTCCGTTTTCGCCCACAAATTCGTCTCCATTGCCGTCTTCGAATCCACGAGTTAAGAACAGCGGTAGCCACTAGCAGCGAAAACCCCCAAATCAAACCCCTATCACCCATCAATACCCTAAGCGCTCTCTTCGAACTCGAACCCACGAAATTCACAACAAAAACAACCAAGAAAACAGCCGAAGAAAAGAGAGAAAACAATTCAGAAAACAAAAGAACCGATTCTAAATCGAAATCGCCACCATCCTTGTCGTTACTCTGCGCAACGTCTTCAGATTCGAAAGCTCCAATGCCGTATTGACAATAACTCCGAAAGCGGGAGGTTGAATTGTTATGTGCATGAAGATGGAATTGATGAAGTTGATTGAAGGATCGAGGAGAAATTGGGAGAGAGAAGAAGAAACTGTTGTTTGTAGGAAAGGAGTTGGGGAAGCAACAAGACTTCAAACGGCTCGAACATCTGAAGAGAATCTGAGAAGGCAATGACATTTTCAGAGAAATACAGGAGAATTTGAGGTCGCTTGTTGAAGATGTTTAATGCTTCTTCTCAGGAACGAAAATGGGTAGAAGCAGAGTTACCATTAATGGAGATTGTTGGTCACTCGGGGTGATAACAGTGGACATGAGCAACACAGGCGTCTGAGAAGACCTGAGAGTGGCGTGCCAGTGGAATGGCGCTGTGGCACTTCGCCGTAAATATTCTCTTTTTAACTATGCTTAAAGAAGCATCTTTTATTTTAAGCCTTATTACGTAAAAAAAAATTTCAACTCGCAAACTAATTTAAATTTTTTATTTTCTAAAAATTCAGCCCACCCAAATCGTATAAAAATATATAATTTGATTGGATAGTTCAGATTAGTTGAGTTCTTGAATCATTTGAACACTCTTGAGATATTTTATAGTATAATGATATTTGGTTGGATAATTTGATTTTCTTGGATCATTTGAATACTCTTAAGATATTTAATAGTATAGTGATATTCAAAACGTCCACTCCTCCACCACCAATAAACTACAAAATATTTATTAGGAGTTTAATGTAAGTAGCCTAAGACCAAATTTAAGTAAGCTTATAATTGATTTTATTTTATTTATTTTTTTTTTTTTTTTGAAGTGTTAGAGAGTTGATTGAATTTTATAAATAATAATCATTAAACTAAAAGAATGCTCCAACGTTAGAAACTAAATCATATATTTATATTTAACTGGTCAGTTTTACAATGATTTACTTAATTTTAATAGATAGTTTTTTTATTAAAAATTATTTGTACCTAGTAATAGATTCATTTACTTCCTAAAATTTTAAAATGTCCACCTTACTCGAAAAATTATGAAATTAAAAAGAATTATAATGACCATACCATGTTTACACGTTTTAATCAAATTTAGTAAAATAAAAAAAAGTAATTTATTGTTAGTATTATTATATGCTCAAATAGTCTAATTTACTTCGAAGGTTAAAACTTGAGATATAAAACCGTCATAGATTGACAAATTATAGTTTGCCAGGGTGATCTAATAAGCACCAATTTATATAATAAAAAAAAAATCTGAAGGAAATGAATCCTATATCATAGAAACCGATATAATATTTAGAGAATATATTATTAAAATTTAATTTATAGTATATTTTATTTTAATCTAATTTATGTTTAGGTACTGGTAGATAGCTTCTATCCAAGATTATGAATATCAATGAAAATACACAAGATTATGAATATCAATGAGAATACACGTTCTTAACCTTTTTCCTGTGCATGCAAACTGCCCCAACATTTGCCGATATAACTGAAAACAAAGAAAACTTATGGGAAATATAAATCTTACCCATGTTACATTAAGTATGGCTCAATTCCAAGTTCTTCGGCACAGACAAGCATCATATCCAGCTCAGTTCAGACAATGGGCTTAACTTTTTTCCTATAAGTATTTGCAAGAATCATTCTCAAACATCGTCTAAAAGCTCTATCGACTTAAAGCTGGGCAATGGATTCTGAGAGTGTCATAGAGCAAAAGCTTATTGAAGCGGCAAAGTAATTGATTATTGTGAATTTCCAAGATAGTTTGGGCAATAACAGATTGTAAATATAGACATACATCATTTCTGAGCTCTCTCAAGGATCAGAAGCAAGTACCAACAACTCGTTCAGGACAAACTTATCAAGGCTGAACAATGTTAGCATCTAATAGTAGGGCATGTACCTCATTGATCTTCGAAACCGAGGCATCTTCCTGCAATGGGATATTGAAGGATCAAGAAATTAGCAAAATCAAGTATTTCGTGGCGATGCAGGATTAAGACACTCGAAACTGTACCCATAGCCGTAAGGTGAATAAAAATACGGTGGTGCATACGGTCTCCTAAAACCCACGTACGGGTTATAACGACGGGGACGATATTGCTTCATACCAGGAACATTTGTTCTCTTGGGCAAAACCTGGAATGGATCATGGCAGCAAATAATAAACGCATGATATCTCTACATTCATACCAAACCAATGAACCAGAAAGGTTTCTCCTTCCAGAAACTTTTTTTTCTTCTTTTTTTCGGCGAAGACCGAGAAAAATGAAAGACTCACCTTGAGTTGCCGTCCATGAAGCTCCGATTCATTCAGAAGGAGGGCCTCTTGAACAGCATCAGCTTCAAGAAATTCTACATAGGCAAAGCCCTTCGGCTGTCCAAATTTATCAGTTAAAATAGTCACTCTGTTGACAGTACCACAGGATTGGAAATGCTGTTGCACTTCTTCGGGTGTGCATGCATAGTCAACCTTCAAACACAAGGATTTTGATTCTTGAAACAGAGCTTTAAACATAAAATGGTAAAGTGCCATCAACAATGAATAGAAAGTTCTATGAGTTCTCTGTTCTTTACATAAATATACTAGCAATTCCTTTGAGAAAAGATCAGACAGCAAGAATTAAAGTTCGTATGTTGTTATGATTAAGAAGGCTACAAATCAAGAAGCTTTGTAAAAATAAAAGAAAAAAAGGGAAGAAGAGAGAAGAACACTTTATCACACACAATCAACAAAGTATTGGGATAAGATACACCAGAGCAACATTAAGAAGTAACAAACTTCCAATGGGCTGGGAAGAGAATCATAAACTATGCCAAGAAAAATAACTCTAACCAAATCACCGAGTCGCCACAAAGATCCAAATCATATGTTTAAATGAACATATGTAACACTAAAGTGTCATTCATTTAAAGGCATGAGAATCACATAACAGATGCATGTTTAAGAAATCCATTACAAGAAGTACAAAACAGTTCTATATTAGAAATGATTGAGAATGAGGTGTTTATTCTTCAACATAGAAGCTTTCCCACATTAATCTTATATAAGTCCACATAGTTTTGCAATCTAACAATGAAATAAGCATGGACTCTCTGCACGACGATGACACGTTGAGTTTCTAACTAAAAGGAAAAGTCTTAGATTAATAAGTTAATATCTTCTTAGTTCTTTCAGAGGTTACTGGCTAAGGGGAAATGCATGCATTAAAATCCTATACTTGGTCTAACTGGGTCAAACGAAGCACAAACTCGAAAAATAATGCCACAAAAAAGCGATTATCTTACACCCTCGCCTCGTCCTTAATGGCTCATTTGTGAGACACAAATGACAATGCCTCTGCTTCCTCGGAGACACCCCTAGCATACTGTAGCTGAACCATCGACATCGTTATTCCACATCTAACAGTTCCAGCCTCCAGAGCGCATGTCTTTCAACAGCATAAGTTCAACTAGAAATAGTCCCCTTCCCCTAAATGCTACAATTCACTAATGGTTTTTGATATTTCAGATTTTTTTTTTTTCTTCTTTCTTTTTCTCACTGATTTTTTCCCGTTAAACCAGTCTTTCAACCATCATTCACAAATTTCTTCTTTCTTTCTTTCCTTCTTTTTGAATTTTTTGCAGAAATTTCTCATTTCAACAACATTTTTTCAAAGATCAAACAACTAAAAAGCTTTTCTTGAATCTAAAGAACATCGGTAGGGACATTTTTCTTCTCACATTGCCGACAAATACAGATCGTGAGTCAGTCTCCTCCTTGCCTGCTTGACTAGTTGATGTACCAGCAGGATCTGCATCAAGCATAACAATCATAGATATAAATAATAAACTTCCAACCAACATGATCGGATAACTAAATTTTGGTTTCTGTCAAAAGCTACAATCATAATTTGTTCATCCATATGAGCGAAACTATGACAAGGAAATATCACCAAAATCACAATCATAATTCGTTCATCCATATCACCCAAAATCATAGTTTCTTCCATATCGCTTACAATATCACAGCAACGAAACCAATTAAATTCAGAAAATTCCATTACTAAAGGCTTAATAAACGAAAACAATAACACGTAATCATGAGAAAACGACCTTGGACGGCTCCCATTTCTTTTTCAACCTTGGCCTGCATTTCTCGGAGAGCCGCTGCTTCCTCCTCCATCTCCTTCAAACGCTTTTTCATCTCGTCAAGCTCCTGAAACGCATACACGATCACAATGAACAAAGAAACAAAAAATCACAAGAATTATTTCTTCTGGTTTCTTTTTCCAAGCAGGAGAAACAGAAAGAGAGAACCAATGGAAACCTTGACGGCGTCGTCATCGGCGACTGACATGTCAACGTCTCCGTCCATCTCCCCTTCAACTGGGATCTCTCCACCGTATACCTCGTGCTCTTCTTCCTCCATCTCTCTTTCGCTCGCAATTCCGCCTTCGTTTCTAGAAATCTCCTCGATGCGTAGAACTGCCTGCACAGAATCGGAATCGTTGGGCCCAGAGAGTTGCTCCACCTCACGACCCAACTATATTCAGCGGCCCATTTAGGCTCTACAGAAATTTGTTGCTTCATTTGGTATTGTTTTGGCAGGTGGGTGGTTTTATTATGTCAACCCTTATTTAGTTCAAATTTATTTAATTAATGTGTGAGAATTAGTTTGTTTGGCCTCTCCAAAGGTTGGGATAGATAGTCTGATGCCTAGATCTAATAGACATATATTTGGAAGACATTTCGGTAAACATATGATAGAGATATATATATATGGTAGATATTTGGTAAAAATTCGTTAGATATTAGATTATTAGGTTTACTTCTCTGTATTCTCTCTCCTTGTATTTTCTCTCTCCTGTTGTTTGTGTTGAGTGTGTGGTTGTTGAGCAATCCTAACAATTAGTATCAGAGCTAACAACTGATACTGGTATCCATCCTAATAACATAGCCAATATTCCTCCTTGTATTTTATCTCTCCTGTTCTTTGTGTTGAGTGTGTGCATTGTTGAGCGATCATAACAATTGGTATCAGAGCTAACAACTGGTATCGATCCTAACAACAGAAACTTATCCAACATTGTTTTGAGATATGGAGTCATTATCATTTTGTATTTATCTTCGGACAATTGAGAATAACTTTGTAAAAGAGACTTTGTAGTGTGAGAGTATGAAAAAACCCTTGTAAACACTTTAATTATAGTGATTGGCTACCATGTATGGAGGTAGGGAAATTTATTATCTCCGAACCACGTAAATCTTTGTGTCTCTCTATTTAATATATATTTGTGGGTTTTGTAAGTGCGATTAATCTTACTTCCACTTCCGCTATAACAATTAGGTATAAAAAAAAAAAATATATATATATATATATTTTGGTGTGAATTAATTAATTAATTAATTAATAATAATAATAATTATTATTATTATTATTTTTCATTTCTTTCAATATTTAGTTAGTTTGATTTGTTTAATTATCCCTTAATTTGAAGGTTGATTTATTTGATTAAAGTAGAAGGGTATTTTGGTCCAATTTATTATCTTAACGTTCGCTATTCATAATAATGGCTTGGCCATTTATTCGCTTAAAAATGAAAAATAAAAAATTGCGCGAAGTTTCGAACTTGGGCGGCCCGCGGGGGACGTTTCAGGCTTCGCTAATGTTTTCATTTTCTGGGTGTGAAGGAACTGAGACGAGGGAAAACAATGGAAGAACTAAGGAAACTAGAACAAGTACAGAAACTCATTACGTCAATGGAGTCGCACGGTATCGCTATGACGTCTTCATCTTCCTCCAATCAATTCATTGCTAATTTCGTTCTCCTTTTGGTACGTTCTTCGTTAAGATAATCCCTGCTTTACGATCTTAAAGTTCCTTGTCGAATATTTGCATAAAAGGTTTTGATGAATTGCCATATTGATGTGAGTTTGTTTGATAATTGAATTGTATATTAGGTGAAACCTTGTGGAGAGCTTGACTTTGAAGATAAATTCAATTTGGTTTCTGAATACATGCCGAAGGTGAGTGTAAGCAATGCCACTGACGACTTTGATTGATCTTATTAGTGTCTGTAATTGTTGGAAGGACTCTACATCTACCCTTGCCATCAACTTTTATTTTGTTCTACAGTTTTCAGAAGAGTTTCTTGGTGAGGCATCATTGCTGCTTGGCGATAGAGGTACTCTATCCTTATGGTCTAAATAATCAGAAGATGTAGGTCAACAAACTAAGAAAAGTTGTAGAATGATTGTTTTTATTGCTGTGTGTTAGGGTGTTTTTATTGCTGTGTGTTAGGGTATACATTGATGTTTGCTCTTGGAGAAAGATTTTATTTATCTGTTGTGGGTCTAGTGGCCTTGCAATTGGTTGTTTTTCATGGCTCAATTTGTTTTAGGCTATAGGGGAAAGGAGATGGAAACCACTTTGCAGCCTTATGGTGACAATAAGCTGGATTTTGGTTCTTCCATGAACTATTGTGGGGAAATGGCTATGGTTGGCTTGGATGCAATGCAGCGTGCAAATTCTACGCTCGAAGATTTTGTAAGTGCATGGTATAATTTTTTTTTTCTTTTTTCTGTTGAATGTAAAAAAATTGACATCATGTGTCACATTGATGCTACTAATATATAAAGGAAATCAGAATCCAATCTTTAAATTGTACTACTTTTCTATTGTTAAGGTGCAGTAACTACAAAATACTATTTCCTTCTTTTTTTAATTAATTTTTAACCATGTAGTTCCCCTTTGATTGTCATGACCTTTTGTGCTAGTTTGAGTGAGGTCATAGAGCACTTCTTCTCTGCATCAAGTATATCTATCCTTAATTTTTTTCCTTTTACATTGGATCATTGCAAATTCATATTATCCAGCGTGGAAGCGTGTGGTAGCATAAGGTTTTGAGCATTGAGGTTGTTGCTATATTCGGGGAAAAGTGGAATCAAAATTTTGGAGGGTGGTCATAAAAACTATGTTTCCTTTTCTTTAGAACATGCTTTTACTTGTCGATGGAAGTTGTGAAGGTGGTGCTTTTTCATGAGGAAATTTAAGTTATTTAAAAAATCTCAGAACTCTCGTTGTGTGCTTTGGGTTGAAATGACCTTAAATGAAAGAGGCTCCTCTTGTAAATACTGAAGTCAGAAAACAGTGGCAGGAAAGATGGAACCTTGATTCCAACTGGTGGAAGTCTTTCTTGTCTCTGATTAACGACTATTCCAATAGGAAACTTCCTAAGAGAAATGATTGAAGTCCAATCTCTTCTTGTTCCTCTGTTGGCGTTCTTGAAGGATGTTCAAATGAAATGCATCTTCCAATGGCCAGAATCTTGTAGCCCTAGTGGGTAAAATTCCTTGGCAGAGTCAAGAAGATACTCACTTCAGTAATGGCTTTCTTTCTTCAATGGGATGGGGTGGCTTGTGAGAGAGGTTGCCGTTAGTGATGTGGGCTATGTTTTTCTTTACTTGTTCCTGCAGTCTCGACATTGGCAGCTTAAACCCAAAAAAATCTTGCTTTCTTAGCTCAAGGTGTTTGGAGACTTAGTTGGAATATGCCTCCTATGGAATATGGGCATATTTACATATATGGAGTAGACGAGTTGGGTTGGTTCAGTTCTTCCCTGCTGCCCCCACATTATTCCAAAGCTTAGGGGTTTCAGCCCTCTTTCTTCCAAAGCTAAGTGGTTTCAAATTAGCTGAGTGCAGGACTTTTTATGAAAATATTTCCTTTGTAATCAGTTAATGGAGAAAAGTTAGGGTTTTCAAAGGTTAATTGATCTGAGGGACTTGGACTTGGAGGTGCTCACCTAAGAATTCCTTCTTGGTGATTTTGCAAAAAACTGCTGGCGTTTCATCTCCACACATTGGAATCTCAGGTTTAGAAGATGTTACATGGAGTGGAAATTGAGAAGTAGGAGAATGTGTTGAATTATTGATGTCTGGATCGGTGAGATTTGAAAACATGGTCTTCAAAGAGATTAATATGTCCAATTGATGTACTTTCTTTTCAATGATTTTTTCCCTCCTTTTTTATGATCTAAACTGGGAAGGTGTTATTTATTTATTTATTGTTGTAAGTCATAATGTGGGCCTGGGAGATGTCTATCACCTCTCCCAATTTTGTAACCTTTGTTCTTGTTTAATTCAGGTATCAAGGCAAACGATTGCTATAATGCTATTTTTGTTTGGGCATTTAGTCTTTTTCCTTAAAAACAATTCTGTATTGTCTAGAATCTTTTGCTATAATGCTTCTTTTGTTTGGGCATTTAGTCTTTTTCCTTAAAAATAATTCTGTTATGTCTAGAATCTTTTGCTATAATGCTTTTTTTGTTCGGGCGTTTAGTCTTTTTCCTTAAAAATAATCTTTTATGTCTATAATCTTTTGCATTAGCAAACCTAGGCTATGACAATTCTGCCATACAACAAGCTGACATTAAAATACATTTTGCAGTTCAGATCTTATTTCATGTTTCACGGAATGGATGTAAACAACCCTCAATGTATATTCAAATACTTTCCCATTCTTTCATTTACTGAAAGTTACATATATCAGGTGATGTCCTACTCTGTTCTTCAAAATTAATTGTTTTTGGTGGAAAATTAGCTGTGCATAAACTTCCAAGGATAATGTTGCAGTAGGAAAGAAAAAACTCTTCAATGATTAATACGACTGTAGGAGGATGTTTAACTCTTCTACCAGATGCATGCAGCACTTATGTGATTCATATTTTGTCTAGTTTCTTAAACTGTTTTTTGTGTAGAAATGGTATTATATAGTGTCAGAAAATGAAAACTTTCAGCTTCTGGAAGAACAAAAACCCTGAGAGCCATATGTGGTAAACCCAAAGCTAAAATTAAAATCTCATCGTCATACACATTGAGCTGTTAGAACTAAGAAATGAGATAAACAACCTGACTTTTTAATCCATAGAAAGACGTTACAGTACATCAGAAGAACATCTGACACAGTCCATGAGATAAAGCTTCCTCATGTTAGAAAAGGAGAAGAAAAAGAAAGAAAAGAAGAAGATAAAAAAAATAAGTAGAGAAGAAAGGAGGAGAGAGGAAGAACGGAGAAAGAATGAGACGTTAGAATAGGAAAAAAAAAAAAAATCTTTTAATAATTATAATTGTCTCCCCAAGGAGCTGTTGCAGCAGTGCTACACGCTGTTACACACATCTTTTTTTAACCTTCGGTTGATTTGAGCCCTTATTGGGCTGACTGACAGGTCAGTTTTGCTAACCTATTGACAGGTATCCTTAAGCCGACCAACTGAAGTCTGTTTGGCCAGTTTTGATCGGTTGGCTCAGTTTTTTTGGTTTCTGATGGCCACCCCTATCTTTGTTACCCAGTCTTGTCTTTACTATGATCTCAATGACCTTGGGTTCTGTTTTGTTTGTGCTTAGTGATTTTATCTACATGCTGCAGCTGGACACTTTGAACGAGGAGATAGCTTTGGGTGGATCCACTTTCGGAGAATCTCAGGTGTTAATACCGGATAGTGTAAAACATGG